TTCACGAAACAAAGACGATTGAGAGATTTAAAATGTCATTCTGTTTCTTTCTAGCCTATTAAAAGAAGATACACTTTCCCTTTCCTTTTAGCTATTATTAATTGGATTGAATTCATTTTAATGCTTTGATAAATTATGTTTGTTCATGAAAGCTAAAAGGGAACTTAAGGAAAGTAAATAACTTATACAACTTCAGGCACTCTTACGTGCAGTTACTAAACGACAATTAATTAAAATGGAATACACGAATAAATTAGCACACTAACATAATTTATTGAAGACTTTATGTTTCTTAATCAGAACATAACCAACTGAACCGTAGACAGGCCCACGGTTCAAACGGCTTTATATTAGTAGTAGTCATCTATAAACATACCGGAAATAATGTCTAAATCGAAAGTACGCCAAACAAAGTAATAATGTACAATGGATTAAGTTATACTACAAATCATTTTTACGTTGTTACATACAACCAACACCATTAGATTTTATACAATACAGTCACACAGTCACAGGCGTCACACTGTAAAATATACTGTTTCATGACGTTGGTTTTATTTATATTACTTTCCATCAATTGGGCAGTTATTTGTCTATCTGTCTGATTGAAAATAACAATATAATTACTTTGACTTAAAACTAACCAACAAATAAAATAATGGAAAATATCTTTAATTTATTGAACTACTATATATACTTCAGTTTTAGTACTACGACATCGAATCGTAGCATGGTAGTAATATTCAATTTCTTAAAAGCTCTATGGCGGCACTTCATTAGTTTTTCCTCTGCCATCTGCGACCCGCATTTCAGCGATTGTTTGTCTTTCGACTCTGCCACTCTTAACATTTCCAGCTCGCTTTTGCACCCTTTTCATTAATAGAGCAGAATACTCAGATTTTACGTCGTTTTTATGCTGTTTTTTATTTTGCATTTGCTTTATGTGTTGTTTATGTTCGACATCCGCTTTAGGCGTGGGTGCTCGAATCTCATCTCATATAATGATATGACATTGAAATGGCACTTTAGGAAAAACTCAAATATCAGTTTTTATGATGACTGTTATGAAAATGTCATAATTTTATTAAGTTTTTAGGTAGCTAATATTTATATGGTATTAGTAATATGTGATAGCTCATTAGTTTATATAGCTTTATATAAAAAATATATTGGATCAAGCAAGGTGAAGTCTTTTCTATTTTGTTTATAAATGTTCCATCACCGATTGTTCATATTAAAACTACTAAGGTTTTATACCAAGATGGTATCATAGTACCTTAATAGGTATGATGCTTATGGAATATGATTATCAATATACGTACTTTTAAATAAAAAGAATGTGAAGCTATTAGGGTGAATCATATGCAATAGTGCATAAATGCATGCAGGGGCTTTTTGGGGTGGTGTTATATTACGTAAAAGTATAATATTTCTCTCACTTCTCATCAGGAACTATTTCCTTACTTTATTGATGTTTAATTATATGATTACTGTACTGAATTTTAATTATAACAACCCCTCAAAACCTTGGCTTTCTTCCTATAAGAAAAGGATACCCTACTATTACTATGCCGACATTTATTTATAGTTTTTCCCCTACTCTTACACGGAAGTTGTTTGTTATATTCCCCTAGTTACTACTTACCTGGGGACAAAACTAGTAGAATGTATCACTATTCTATTATTACTTCATCATAATAACTGTTCCGGTTCCAATGGTTTTGTGTCATTCAGTTAATAGTATATATACACTTATAACCTACAATATAGATACTAAAAAGTCGGTATATAATTTGAGATACATTAGAAAACATTAAAAAATTGATGGCTCAGTAATAAAAGTTACATGTACTTTGAAAGCCATCATTATTTTAAGTAGACCACTCCGAATAAATCGTGTACCATTTATACATATATACCTAGGTATACTAAATGAGATTAATCAAGTTTTCTTCAACGTTATGGTAAAACGTTGAAGAAAACTTGATTATGACGTTAAAATTATTGATAAAGTTTTTAATTTATTAATTCTATTTTCAGCTAGTACTTTTCTAAGTTAGTTAGTCATCTAATAATGTTGTACTATTATTGTATAATTTTAAGTTTATTATAATGCATTGCTTCTCTGTTTTTATTGTGTTCAAAATTTTTAAAAGAATTAGTTACGCTCTCCGGATTTGCCCAGATACTTGTCTATGTTACTCTGGAATAAGTACTTATCAAACAGTTTCTCAAAAATTGGTTCTGAAATTTAGTTTCCTTATAACAAAATCAGCTTTCTTTCTCTTCATAGTAAAGGTAAGATAGAAGGCAATAAGAATAACTAGACAGAGTAGTATATTAAGTTTTGTATGTAGAACGAGATAGAGCTTACCTACTGGTTGTAATATTTCCTAATGTAATAGTTTATACGTCAGTTCAACGAGCAATGCAAACCAGCAAATGTACCTTAATATTTTCCAAACTACAAATTTTAATTCTATAAGTAAGTACATAAACATAGAATAGAATATGTAATAAACCTAGGAGCCAGTAAGCGCACATTTCCAATGTCAAGTTATGAAATTAATCGTGAAATTTCAGCGAGGCCGTGTTCGGCAGGTGCCTTTCCCGGGGGAGCCGTTTGCAGTACAGAAATACCGTCTAACTCTGTTGAATGTGAAAAGTTCCAAATACCGACCTGTACAAAAGTTTTTAGTTTAATTCCTAATATAAAAGTCGTACTAAGCCAATGAGTTTTCGAAAAGTAAGATATCTACTTTCAAAGTTTTTTTATTTTTGTGTGACCATATTTTAAGTAGCTTTAATGCATGAATCCTGAATGAGTTTATAAAGAAAAATTTCTAAATTTTCCTATCTATTTTATATGTATATATATATATTTCGGAACATTATCATCTATTTAGAACCTACTTTTATAATATAAAATGTATTTTAAAAAGAACAAAACTAATCCCTAATACATATCCAAGTACATACTTGGATATAATATTCTTGAATTATCCTGAACAAGTTCTTTTTACGTATGAAAACCTTCCAAAGTCTAGCACAGGGCAAGGCGGTGTTTTCGATTTTTACCCACTAAAAGCCACATGGTGTAGTCGAGTTAGCATTCTACCGCGGCTATATTGAACATTCTGTATTAGCACAGGATACTTTTTATCTTAATTTACATGAACAAAGCTGTGGATAGTTTAGTCAATAAAAAATATTCTTATGTATTGTATGTTATGTGAATAAATTATAAAGAGTTTGTTAGAAATATGTACACCACCTTAAAACCTTGAGAGGTTTAAATAATGTTGAAGAGTTTTCAATGGGAATCATACAGTAGGTATCTGAGGAGTTTATTTTAAATCGTAGACGCGAAGCATGTAGATACGAGCGACAGTTCAGCTAATGAGTGAAATGAGCCGTAGCCACAACGCAATGTTTCCATATTTATGAAACAGTCCACTGGGTGTGCATATCTTTATTTCCCGGTGGGTCTGCGACCGTAAACTTTCAGCCAAACTCCGTCGAATGGAAAAACTTTATTTATATTTGAGTTGGGAGAGGGTTTGTGAATACTAAATCAGATTGGCGCGAGAGGCGTGGCTCTTGAGCAACATATTTTATACTATACTCGCTCGGCGGCGTGAATACGTACAAAAATAAGTTGAACTTATGATTTTTTTTCTAAGAAATCAGTTCACATGTTTATTTAGATTGCGTGACATGGTTTTGTATATGCGACGATCTCCTCCTTAGGGAATTGTCTGTAAGTTATATAGACTTATAAATGTTTTATATGAAGTAACCCATACGAGACGACGCGACGGTTAAATAACATTTTTAAAGTGTAACTGTCACCTACATGCAATTATAATGACAATTAGTATTGACCTATATAATATAATATACTAGCTTTCATGGAATTTTTTATTTGAGACCATTCCTGAGGATTAAATAAGCCAGTACTGAATTGCGACTGTGATAGAATGTACTGGAAGATGGTTTAATCCAAAGTATCCCATTAGTATCATAACAACAGCTGGTCGAAATATGATACGATTAACGACCAATAAAATCGTACTATAACTTGAAATATGTAGAAACGGCAAGGATCCCAAACATTATTCCTAGTCTACATAAAATATCAAACTACTCATATGGTGTGGCTTCCAATTATTTTCTCATATCCCATGATAAGTGACGCTTAACCACATATCTGGCACGATGTCAAGATGACACGAGGATCTCGACACGACAGACGGAAGCAAGGGCGACGTCCTAAGAGGGATTTGTTTATTCCTCAGTGAAAGAATTACGGAGGCGGAAACAAATTGGGGAATATAGCATTTATCCCTCCCAATGTGTCCAATTTGTTATTGCTTTTAGTCCATTAGTTTCACTTACATAGTTTGTGGTATAAGGGGCAAAGTTAAGCAATTAGGTAGATTTTTATAAAAAGAAGTTAGCCTCTTTCCCTTAAGTATTTAATTTTTTTGGGTACAGTACAAACTTTGTTAACAAAACTAAGTTTAGTATTAAAATATAACTTATGTTTGCACATACGTAGATGGTAAAAATACTACTAAGCTGAAAGATAAAAAGTTTTAGCATTTGATATTTATAATGTCCACAGATTTTTTTTTCATTGAAAAAGAATATGTCTCATATACTGATAGTAGTAGACTATTTTTTGTTGTTTTAGTTGAAGGGTGAGATATGATAAGGTAAGATATGGCAGTGAAATTACAGAATAAGCACGATTAATGCCCTAGTTCTCCGGAATGGCAACGCATGGCGGATACGGGCGTCATATGATGACGTGTTGTCTATGGTGGATCATAACTCGGCTGCCACTCCATTTACTTAAAAAAATCAAATTGCTATCTAATCTGAACAGTTTTAAATACTATTGTGTGTAGCCCTTGATAGCCAACTAGAAGCGCACAGCGAGCGTAGCCCGATGTAGCGGTGCGTTGAGTGTGTAGACAATTGTTAATTTTTATTACCTGGTATTCTCCCCTGGCAGTACAGCTAAGCATGGCACCAGTGTCGTTGGTGAACTCGATGTGATGTGGTGGCTCTTGAATTATTGGCAGTTTTCGAGGCTCTGGAGATGCTCGTACTGCTGTAATAAAACGAAAAGATTTTTGTAGACAAAGTTAATCTAATTATCATAATTGATTTTTCTATAACAAATTGTGTTAACTATTAAGATTGATTGCATATGCCTTCATATATGTAATAGGCCTTCTTAAAACACATATTTTTAGAGATTAGTACTCCCGTTACCACACAAGTTGACTGTTTATGAATGCGCACAAGCTTTACTTTACTACGTTTTTTATGCTATAGATACTTCTAGTATAGATTTAAAAATAAATAAATCTGTACTTGGTTAAAGTTTTCGCTCTTATTCTGTTCTAATTCTTACTCTTTATTATTCTAGTCTGTAAAACTAACTTAGAACTACAACAAACATACAAACCCCATTTACAGCGAGAAATTCCAATGAAGTAAATCTGAATTCTCTGTAGTTAGTCCGCTTTATTATCTATCTAAACTTAAGTTTACATAGTTCAGCGGTTTCAATGAGAGAAAGCGTGTAATAACACATTGGTCGCCACGACCGTGGACACTAAATGGAATAAAGCCGTCTGGATATAAGAATCTCACGTATAAATGGAATGAATTGAGCAGAGAGATCGTTTAAAATAAAGTATACCGCATTTAATACGCATCTATATTTGAAGTTAATGTTATTATGTCCCTACATTAGGTTTGTATCCATGGAATATATACTCAAAGGAAGCTAACCCAATAAGCATAAATAATTACGTACGGACATAATAATTACGCAGGCAGTTTCGTAGCAAATTGCTTATTACGGTATTTATTAAGCTCAAGGCTTAATTTTATAAAAAAAAATATTCAATAGAAATGACTTGATTTATGGATGTAGAAGACGAAAGAGGTCTTTTTGTTTTGATCTCTGTCTACCTCAATATTAGTTTAGTGTGGTGTTTATATATACGTGTGTTATATAAATATATATATGTATGTGTTTATATATATATAAAACACTCTATTTCAATATGGATCTTGATTAAAAAATATATTTAGTCTTCGTGATTAGATCTTGATTAATATTTTTCACGTAATCCATCAAAGAACAAACCAGTTTTAACCTGAGAAAGTTGCATTAGTTGTATCGTTTAATTACTGAGTTTTAAGCGTAACCTTCTAACTCCGTCATGAAACCAGTTGCTACATAATTGCGTTTTCACCTAAGTTTTATAGGTGTGTATTTCGAGCAACTTAAACGGTTAGGAATTAATGTGCAATTTAGTAGGTTAAGATCTATAGTGTGTGTGTGTGTGTGTGTGTGTGTGTGTGTGTGTGTGTGTGTGTGTGTGTGTGTGTGTGTGTGTATCCACATATATGTTAGTAAGAACCCTAAAATGGTATATATATCAAGAAATAGAAACTAAAATTTTCGACACATTTTAATATTTGGCTCCATTAATTTACCTAGACAACTCTTCTTAGTATGTAATTAGTATATCTTAACAACGACAATAAATAAATATTTATATAACGAATACGTTGATATTTTACAAGCAAGCATTTTAGCGAGCAACTATAATTCCTAAGTAATGTTGTATACAAAATAACTTCAAGCTCTTGTACTATCTTATTCATATAGTTTATAGGATGGTTGCACATAACTCTGCAGTGCCTTAAATCTTCTCTAGCTAGGTCAGTAACCAATCATGTAAGTATTAACACATCTACACCTCGAAATCGCATTCTCGCTCTATTATTCTGGCCATTTTCGGATCGTTTTTGATATCAAATTAAGGAAAGGAAACTTAATTTATTACAATCTTTGAATTACTTTTGTAATATTTATTAATCAATTTAAATTAAAATCTAAATATATAAAAGGAATGTGTACTGTAGTATTTTAAATAATTTTATTGTTTTAAATGCCATACAAATGTGACATAATTTACACGCCATTAAAATGGTAAATATTGGTGAACGCTTGTTAATTAATATATAAGATATGCTCTGAGAAAAAATACCATTTCAGAATTTTATATCACTTACTATAATAATATCTTGTTAAGTTCATAAGTAATCTAACATAATTAGATTTCATCATATACTTATGTTAAAGTTGATAAAAATAAGTAAGTAACTACGTATGAGATTTGTAGTGGATGTACCTCTCTAGATGGTGTGTCTAGGATAACATGGCTCTAAATTTGAATGAGACAAAATGACAAGAGACGGGCGTAGCCACGAATAATATTCAGCATTAAAGAGGCGAACACGGTTATCATGCCGTCAAAAGTGACATAGATTAACTGAGTAACGTGAGAAATCATAGCTAAATTTGGAGTGAGTACGTACATAAATGAACGGGAATCTACAATTATAAAATATACTAATATTTATTTAATAACTTAATTAATTATACCTTACCTTTTCGTTACCAACTTATTCAAGAACTTTAATATATTTGCAAATTTTTTATTGAATTTTAAACTTTGGTTAGGTTGTAACCATCGGCTTTTCTAGTCCTATAATTTCTGCTAGTAGATATTTTAATACAATTAATGGAATTTATGTCTTCGTAGTTCGGAAATAGTAATTTTATTGTTACAATATCTTGGGTATCAAATTATAATCATACTTATTTGACGCGTTTTTGACTAGTGCATTTATAAGTAATTACCATTATTGAAAAACCACTTTCTCAGCATATCACTGATATCTAATTGTAATTTTTTTCAAGTTAGTTAAATTAAAGCAAATGGAAAAGAACTCTCAACTGATAAAAAGAAACAATACATATACGCAATAATCAAGTATTAATTAGAAAGAACTAATACTAAAATGTAGATTAAAATACTTCAATTGCATCAATTATGCATATATTTGAGTTTAAAATAACTAAATGAAATAGTACCCCAGGTGACCTAGAATAGCAGAAACTATCTTAAAGTCTCATCAACGCAGTAGATGGATGATAGCAGACACCTACTAGCTAGCAATAGATTACATTTCATATAGAGTTAAGCATCGCGTCACAGACAATAAAGATAAGGTACATCAGACAGGGAGGCAGTGGTGGTGGGTGAAATACCTGTGCTCTAGCGAGGCGCGCCACAAGCCGCAGCGTTCGATTTCCGTTTAATTTTGCGACGTCTGTGTTCGTCTCTGTACATCTATATTGTCTATGGACTACATCCGTCGCATTTGGCTAATTGTCTTGTAACGACTGCCTAGTTCTGGTTGATGTTTATGAGAAAACTAGCTGTATTTTGCAGTTATAACCGCATGAATTGGAATTTAAAATCCTGTCTTGGTTTAGGATATAATTTATCTAAGTAACAAATATACGAATCTGTACAAATATGAAAATTTTAGATATTTACCATAACTTAAATTATTACGATAACTTTACAATATTCGGTAATAAACGAATTTTATATACTGTATTATAGTACAATAGTAAGAAGAATAACACCTAGTAGGTATATCTTCTAATATGTAAGTAGTCCTGAATGACGTTCATCCATTGATTGTCACTTCATTTAGTGGTTAAAAACCTACACTGCAAATGCATGTAAGAGGTCAACACTATATATCCAAATAGGTTTTATGATTCTTCGAGTATATCTAATTAATTTTTCTGGGAATATTGAATTGTAATTCGATTTCAATTGTTTTTCAACCAACAAAACTCTAAGCAACATTGCTTCTTACTATAAACGACTTGAACCTTTCTAATTTATCATACTAAATACGATGACGATAACGTAAATCAAGATGAGTAATAAAATGTAATCAAGATGAGTAAAAAACCATAAAGTAATCGTTACTATACGTACAATCTACGGGTAAATGAGAATAACTTGGCACGCAAAACTTCAGCGATTTAAAATCAGGCACATAAAGAATATGGACGAAGTGATATACCTAACTTATATGTACATCTACAAAATAACGAAAATCTCTCCTCGTATTCTGCCAAGTAAAATACATAAATGTATGAGTTGCAACTTTGTCAACATTTGAATAGTATTGATATTAGTAAATTGGTCCTTATGAAATAATAAAAATGAATTGACACATGTGCTCGTATAATTAATATTTCTCCAACATGCTAGTCTTATCCTCGTTTCTAATATTAGTCTTGAATCTTTTATTATACAATTAAGATACAATACAAGAAGTTCTTAGGGCAGTATTCTGCCAATATGGTAGAATATTGAGAATATGCAAAAATAAGGGTATTTAAAATATGAAATGGACTAAGACACCAACTCATTTTTATTTCTTTCGCCACGTCCATTTATTCGTCCAACTTTACAGAAGTCGATTAAACTTTTATAAAGGGGTTTTTATTCCGCGCGACATCAGTAATATCAGCCAGGCTGAAACGCCGCAGATAAAAATGTAATTTATTACGGTTAGAATAAAATGATGCAGCACTGCTAGAAATAGACTAAAATGGAATTGCTGAGTAACCGTATATCACATATGTAGTAAATAAGTTTATAATGCACTATCGTGTTACTAATGACAATCTCTTGTTCAAAATATACTATTGAATAAATATCAAATATTTTAAAATACATTTTAATGACAATGCCTGTTTATAATAATAAAATATTCCTAATACAAGCAGTATTATACATAGTTTTATTATAAATACGAAAGAGTTTATAATAAAACTACACTCTAACATAAAGCTAAACGGCTGAATGATACCTAATAAATTTTTATATGAAGGTAGATTCTATAATGAGAATAGACACAACTTATCTTTTTACTCAAAAAAGCAGCCGAAGTCGTGGGTAACATCTAGTATCATAAATAAAACAGTTTTCGAAAAATATTACATAGAGTCATACAAGAAGTCTTCATCCTATAGTAATACGACATAACTACTAACATAACTTAACATACTACATTGTTGTATAAGATTCTGTATCTCTCAAAGGCAGCGTAAAGATTCTGGAAACTTATACCTACAAGCGTGCTTTACAGAGTAATTTAAGAGCGAGCTTAAACGCGTTTTAGTATATCGTTCCACATGCGTCATTAGAGTGT